TGGCCCCACTGCTGGACCTCCTGAGGGCGCCTGGTGTTTTGGGCTGATGTGTGACACAGGGTGTTGGACTGGATGGGCCACTGGCCTGATCCAGCATTGGCTTCTGTTATGTTCTTATGTCTGAGGCAAGGGATGCTCTGTATTCTTAGTGCTTGGGGGGCAAGAGTGGGAGGGCTCCTGGAGTTTTGGCCCTGCTGGCGGACCTCCTGAGGGCACCTGGTGTTTGGGGCTGATGTGTGACACAGGGTGTTGGACTGGATGGGCCACTGGCCTGATCCAACATTGGCTTCTCTTACGTTCTTCTGGTCTGAGAGACTGTGATGGTCCCAAGGTCACCTGCCAGGCTTCCATAGCTGAGTGGGGGATTCAAACGCAGCCTTGTCCATCAGTGTAGCCAGGAAGCCACACCGGTGTAATCCCCTGCAGAATTATGCCTTTATAGTCCCATCAAAGTCAGAGGGCATAGAAATGTATAACTGTGCCTATCGCAAACTGAATTCTGTATGGAAAACTCTATAGCCCCCTTGGCTCTAACTGGAATTTATTGATTTATTTATAGACCTAGGCAGAAGGTGAATTCCCCTGTTGGGGGGGCATTAGGTGCATTTAGGCTGGTTTCAATATCTGTTGTTTTTAATGTTTGCTTCATAAAATTATTTCTGCATTCCTGTGGTGGGTGTGGCCTTCTGACACACTTCCGGTGATGTCAGGGGGTGTGGCCTTCTGACTCACTTCCGGTGATGTCAGGGGGCGTGGCATATGCAAATAAGTTATGCTAATGAGTTATGCTAATGAGCTCCGGCAGCTCTTTTTCTACAACAAGACCCCTGGTTGTTCATAGGATCTCATTAAGTTTTAAGTCATGTCTCTCTAATATTAATGACATCTCTTCTGACCTGTTTTATCAGCTTTTTTACATATTTCCCACAAACTGTTATTTTTGAACATGGTAAATATAAAACAACTGTACCAGGATACATAGTTTTGCATCACCATGTTGTGAGAGCTGGTGCTTATTATATCAAAGCAAACCAATAAAAACAAGGATTTGCTCTAGTATTGTAAACGCCATCTCCTGGCCATGTGAAGAAAAATCATTAAGCAGTCAGTGTGATCTAGCTTTCAATGAAAAATTTTAACACTTTATCACAGCAGAATGTGTGTGTGTGTGTGTGTGTATAACACCCCACAGTGTTATACACACACACACACACACACACACATGCATATGTGTATATACTAGGAGTAAGGCCCATTGTGGGAAGAAATACAACGAGCTCTAGAAAGAGGCTCCAGGTGAGTGTCTCGGCTGTGGCTGGTGGGGTGGCAGAGGGAAGGGAAAAATAGAGGGATGCAAGCCATATTTATTTCCTGCTTCGCTATAAGGCAGGGCTGTCTCCAGTCATTTTGCTTTCCCAAGTGGGTAGTATGGGAGGAGAGCCACATGGTAACAGGTATGGCTCTCTCCACCCCGACTTATGTTGATTTGGGGCTATGCAGAGGCAGTCAAGGTAGAAAAGCATCTCCTCCTATACCATGTTTTTGGGTTCCACGGGTCTGGAAAGAGGTTCCGTAGCCAGTTACAGGGCTGCCCACTCTGGGTTGGGAAATATGTGTAGATTTGAGGGGCAGAGCCTGGGGAGGGCAGGGTTTGGGGTGGGGAGAGACCTCAGCAGGATATAATGCCATACAGTCCACTGCCCAAAGCAGTGGTTTTGTTTAGTGACAATACTCACTGAGT